CAAGGTCTGTGCACACGAAGATATAATTTCTTTTCGAAAAGACGTCTGCATAATTCGCCAAAAGTTCCCTCACCCGAAGAGTCTGTGATGATGACAAATGGACTATGCTCTGCTTTTATAGAATAGTTAAGTGTTCTGGGAGATGATGTCCTTTCTTTATGGTTGTGTTTCTTGCCTTAACCTTGACTGGCTCTACCTCCTGGCACACACCCAACAATGCCTCTTTCTTAAGTGTCTGCTCACATTTAGAGAAATTGGCCACTGTTATGGGTACTACTGATGACCTGCCACAAGTGGTCTTCCAATCTTCACATCCACTTGCCTGGATGGGTCTTCCACAAGCATCGGGCTTCCTTGGGAATGTTCTTTTATTCTACCCCAAATTATCTTCTCTGACATAGGGGGGTATTTAGGTTGACTTAAGTGCTGTGACATGCAAATCAACAGAAGCAGCAACACTTACCGGAATTTGGCCTTTGTTGTTCCCAAACGTCATTTTATCGAAGTTAACTACACACTTACTCGGTAGTAAGTAGTCCAACCCTAATATGCATTGGTCTTCAATAGTTATCCACACTGGTCCCCACAACCTTGCATAATGTCCTGTCACACCACAGAGCTTCTGTATGGCTTCTGGTACTCCTTTGTGATCCAGCAGCTTGATACTCATCCAGCTTACCTGTCACGTAGACATTATGTGTACTTGACATTTTACACCTAGCTGTTGGGTCTTTCACAATGGGGGTTGGTGGGCGTTCCTCAGCACCAACCACTACTGGTTTCCAGAAGCTGACTTGTTGGTAGTATTCTTCTTACACTGGCTCCTCATATGTCCTTGCTCTACAGTTCCAACAACCTCTCTGGGTAGCAGCCTTTCCTGCTGTGCCATCTTCCCTGTGTTGAAGTTGCCGGCATTGAGCTCTCCTGTGCCCAGGTTTATTACAGTGCCAGCAAAGTCCCTCAAACTTCTCTGAAAGTTGACCTTTTCTGGCTATGAATCCTGATGACTGTACCAACCTTGGTACCTCTGTGCTGGACTTAATGTAGGATGCGAATTCAACAGCTCTGGCCGTTGCATCCTGCATAGTAGAGGGGTGTGGTTGCTTCACTTGTATCTTCAGTTGTGGACTGTCCAAGGCGTCTATGAACTCATCCTTCAGCAACAACTTGAGGAGATCGGGTGGAGCAGTTGGGTAGGCCTTGTGTGCCATACTTTTCAAATCCTGTGCCAGCTCTTGCAGGCTCTCCCCTTTAGCACGGACTCTCGTCATAAACCTAGCCCTTTAGACTCCAGACTGTTTTTGAGTTCCATACCTGAGTTCTAGAGCAGCTTATCAGTGCTCTATAGTTCTGCCTGGCGTCTGCTGACAACTGTCCAAGTATTTCCATTGGTTGTCCCTTCAAGCTAGTTGCCAGGTACACTGCCTTCTGCTCCTGTGTCGATTCATTCATTTCTGCCAGGAGCTCAAATTGTGCTCTATATGTTTCCCATGGGGCCTTCCCATTGACTTCATGTGGCTTCCTTCGTACTAGATCACCCCTATTGCTGACACTCATGTCTGGAATGTGACTTCTAACAGGACTGAAGATGTC